CAGGGGCGGGTGCGTGGTGCTTGTCACAGTGTGGCCCCAGCCCCGGTGTGCTCCTGCACGGCTGGTGCCTGGTCACCCTTGGCCCCTGCCCGAGGGCCCCAGCGTTTCTGAGCTGCTTCCCCAGGGACATTCCCCCAGCCTGACCCTAGGGCCTCCTGGTGAGCCCCCTCTGCAGCCAGCACTGTTCCTCTGCAGGTCAGTGAACAGTTTGCCCGCTACCTTGATGGGCAGATCCAGGAGCTCCACGGGGCTGTGGGCAGCACGGGGCTGCTGCAGCGGATCCTGGAGCCCTTCATCGTCTTCAGTGGCCTGGAGTTCGCCCACACCTTTGAGCACTTCTACCGGTGAGGGGTGCCGTGTCTGCACGGGAGCAGAGGGCCTGGTGTGGCGTGGCAGGGGAGGCGCAGGTGTCAGCAAGGCTGTGCCTGAGCCTGGCCTTGCGTGGCAGGGGTGCTCCTTTGCTTTTCCCGGCTGTGGCGTGTGGAGGGAAAGGGTGTGAGGGCCTGTGGGCGCTGGCAGTCTGCGGAGGCACATTCCCCCCTGGTGACAGGGAGGGGAGACGAGTGCTGCCAGGCCCGTGCACCTTGGGGTGAGGCGAGGGCTGGGGCCATCTCTGTCTCCTGGTGGGCGGCTGATGGCCATGGGGCTCGGGCTGGCCCCTGACCTGGCGCTGGTGGCTGTGGCAGGCACTACCTGGGGGACCGGCTCCTGACGCAAGGACCGTCTTGGCTGGAAGGGGCCATCGTGGAGCAGATTGGGCTGTGCTTCCCCAGCCGCTTCCCCCAGGAGATGCTGAGCAACTTGGCTGAGTCGGAGGAGCTCCAGAAGCAGTTTTACCTCTTCCAGCTGCAGGAGCAGGACAAGCGGCTGCTGGAGCTGGACATGGGCCTGCATGAGGTGAGCGTGCTGGTGGGACGGGGAGGCTGGGGGCCGCCTGCGTTCCTCACAGGGATCCTGGGGCCTGTCCTGAGCCTCTCCCATGTCCATGTGCCAGGCACTGGGGCCGGCCTCAGTGACGGATGGGCCGGAGGTGAAGGTGCTGGCTCTGTCCCCGCGCTGCTGGCCCGTTTCCCCATCCTGCTACATGGATGAACCTAGGAGGTTTTTCCCGGCAACGCTGAGCTCCCCCCTGGATGAGTTTGCTGACTTCTGCCGGCAGAGTGAGTGTTGCGGCAGTGGGTGTGCGTGGGGGTCTCGCCAGGGCCCAGGCCCTCCACAGGAGCTCAGCCAGAAGTGGCAGGAGTGCTGGGGTGTGCTGGGACTGCCTGGGAGGGCTGGCCCCCAGCCCCGGCGCTGATGCTGTCTCTGGCAGGCCAGAGCCAGCTGGGCTGGGAGTGCACGAAGCCCCGGCGGTTGCAGTGGACGTGGCTGGGCCACGCTGAACTGCAGTTTGGAGACTGCGTCCTCCATGTGTCCACGCTGCAGATGTACATCCTGCTGTGCTTCAACAGCGCCGAGGTAGGAGCTGGGGCTGCAGTGGGGTGAGGGAGGCAGCGGATGCTGGAGTGTAGCAGGGCCGTGTCCTCCTTCCGGTGGGGTCTCCAGTGGTGTTTGGGGCACAGGCCCCCCCTTGTTTGGCTGGGCCTGTGGCTGGTGTGTCTTGGCTGGCCATTCTCCTCCCACACCCTCCTGCAGGAGGTGGCTGTGGAGGCGCTGCTGCAGGCTACAGGGCTCCCTGCTGACCTGGTGCACCATGCACTGACACCACTGACCCATGGCGAGGGCGTCCTGGTGTGGAGCTGCACGCCGGGAGGTGAGTGTGGGGCTGGGTCTCCCCTGGGGAGGTTCTGCTCTGAGCTCCAAGTGGGTACTGGGGTAGGGGAAGTGAGTGGGCTGGGGTGAGCCTGTCTGTTGGTGCTTGGGGCACAGGTTGGTGTGTCCAGTGGGGGCCTGAGGCCATGTGTAGGGCTGGGGGTGGTGTGTGGGGCTGTGGCTTGGGGCTGTGCAGGGGGGGTGGGTGGGCATGGGTGGTTGG